GAGAGAGAGAGACAGAGAGAGACAGAGAGAGAGAGACAGAGAGAGGGAGACAGAGAGAGAGAGAGAGAGAGCGAGAGAGAGAGAGAGAGAGAGAGAGACAGAGAGCAAACACATGGGGAATCCCCAGTGCAAGAGCATGACACTATCAATCTAAACTCAGCTCGAGCAGTTCACCATTACATGCCTTTATAAAGTGCGTGCATTCACCACCCGAGCCCAGGTTATCGTGAAAACACTCGGCTACTCAATTAAGCATGTATTCCACATTTACTTTCGCTTTAAACTATCAGCAGTACACTGTAATATAATCCCAATATTTATTTTAAAATGCATGGGGCTACATACCTGAGGGTTGATGGCTTTAACAGCTCATTTGGACTAATGTGGTTGAGCGTTCAGCTGCTATAATCCTAAATCTAGCACTTGACAGCTGCTCGGCTCAGTGCGCAGCGCAGACGCACTTAGTACATCACGCTCATTTCGGGCGCGCTGCCACGCGATTAAAGTGAACGGAACACGGAATGACCAATTCTAGCACGGCGAAGGCGTGGCTCATGAATATTAAGTAGGTAACGTCACAGGACAGTTACCACGCAACGTTAGCGCGAGCTAATGAAAGTGCACTGCAGGAAGTTAAGCGAAACTACATCAAATATTCCAGAAATATAATACGCTTTAGAGGCTGAGACACACTTTAGTGCCTCTTTAAGCTAAAATAGGAAAGAACACGTTAAGCAAACACTCCTGTGTACAAACGCAAGATGAAATGAAAATGAAATGAAGAGTCTGTGTTCAAACGTGTTTTAATATTCGAGCACATAACACTTCACATATGAACATGCTTTAGGCACACATTTAGAGAAGAGACTTCATTATTTTACATGTTAATACCACCACACTCGGAGCTGCCTACAACCTGCTCTTAAAATACTTAAACAAGGTTGCATAAAAAAAACAAAAAAAAAAAACCAGGAGATACTAAAAAGGAGCATCACCCTTACCCATAAAATTAAAAATAAGAAAACTTGCTTAATATCGTCAAAAAATTGTTTTGTACTGTTTGAGACATTAAGCAATTTTCAATATGCAGCCAAACTGCATACAGTAGAAACGGCACTTTTTCTGATGAAATAATCATACCAGTACAATAATAATAATAATGTAATAAGTGCCAGGAGCACAGCTATACATATAAAAAAAATCTAGTTAAGACTTCAAAAAACTTCTAAGGAACTACCCAGAAAATAAGACAAATTATGAATGATTAAAATCATACAGCAGTGAAAAGTGTTTGCACAGTGACTGTTTGCATGCACAAGAATATTCCAGTATTAATCAGTCTTATTCTGATTATGCAATGCTATCATAACCAGATTAACATTTCGGTTTATAGAAATCTGAATAAGGCCGTGTATGTCTGTTGTAATCAGCATTTTGAGTCACATAAATACCGTAAAAACACCGTAACTGATTATCTGCACATCCAAACCAAAGTAATGCTGGATTATACAGCTGTGAGATGCCAACTCTATTAAATATAAAAATATTCTTGGAGCAAAACAACTTTTTAAATTAACATTCTACAAAGAAGAAATCTCTTTAAAAAGTGTCTCATGACAAATTTATTATGTTCTTGTGTAATATTAAGAACATCAATCAAAACTTAAATTGCTTAAATAAATGGCAAGAGGATCCCCATTATTTCCAGAAGAGAATAAAAGGGAAAGAACGTAGATTAGTTTACTCTGATAATGCTCATTACATGTACACAGTGATATTCAGAGCTGTGGATTACGTAAACCTCTTTTCAGAATAAAGGTTTAACCAGAATATAGACCTTTAACTGGAAAATGATGTTCACGTAACCATGATCTGATCAACTGATCTCCAATCCACAGTTCAGGATCCAGGGTACATGCTAAACTCTGATGAACAAACAGCACATCACTAGTGAAATAGCTCAGGTCAACAGCTTAGTGTCTGGTTGGAAAATGTGGATCATTTACACATTTCTGCAAGTCAAACAGGTTTATAAACAAACCCAATTAAATCCAAATGAACAAAAATGATAAAATGGGGTTGAAAATAAGTCTTTTAAACTCAAAAGGGACTGAAGTAGTTTTTGGTATCAATGTCCAGTTCAAAAAAAAAAGTAAGACAGTAATAAGTTTCTATGCTTTTCATTAGCAGTCAAGTATGAGATTATATTTTCTTGTTAAGAGCACTTTGATGGCAATAGAATTCGGACAGGTGATTTTCTGTCAGTCTGTAGCACCAAATATAAAAATACGAAACTCGTAAAAATGACACGACACAGTAATCAACCACAAACACAGATGAACAACAGGACGACGAGCGAACCCCATTTAAAGAGGTCTGCCCTTACATAATAGATACTAATGAACAACACGAAAAAGTGCTGACTGAGCACAATATTTTAAAGACAATGTTACCACATGATTACGAAATCTAGAATAAAAAAAATAATAAGTTCAAATAAATAGAAAGTTACGTAACTAATATATACAGTTTAAAACTATAATTTTTTCCCTAGTATTCACAATGAGAACTGCTGACTGCACCTTCATCTGCAAAGTCAGAAATACGAATCACATCAGTGTAGGGAGTCGTGCTGGATGCCCAGCAGAGCGGGCGCGGCTGAAGCCGTGGGGCGG